AGAGATCCGAGACACTTTCGTCCACAAACAATACTTTCTCTCTGTGTTTCTCGATATCGAGAAGGCATATGACACAACATGACGTTTTGGCATATTAAGAGACTTGTCTCACCTGGGTGTGCGTGGTAAAATGCTTTCCATAATTGAAAGTTACTTGTCCAATCGGACATTTCGTGTCCGTGTGGGCAGTATTCTCTCCCAAACATTTGTCCAAGAAACGGGAGTACTGCAAGGTGGTATACTTAGTTGTACACTTTTTATTATCAAAATGAATTCCTTGTACCTGTCTATCCCCCGCTACATGTTCTATTGTACATATGTTGATGACGTCCAGCTTGGCTTTAAGTCATGCAACCTGGCAATGTGTGAGCAGCAGGTTCAGTTAGGTTTAAACAAGGCCTCCAAATGGCCAGAGGAAAACGGATTCCGATTGAACTCACAAAAAAGCACGCGTGTCTTGTTCTCCCGAAAGAGAGGCATGCACTCAGAACCCGACATTGAACTGAATGGTCAACGTCTATCTGTTAATGCAGAGCATAAATTCTTAGGCTTAATCTTGGACAACAAGTTGACCTTCGTACCGCACATCAAGTATTTAAAAACAAAATGTTTAAAAGCCATCAATGCTCTAAAGGTGTTGTCACGTACTACAGGGGGTAGTGACAGGCAATGTCTCATGAACCTGTATAGAAGCCTCATTCGCACCCGCTTAGACTATGGGGCCCTTGTTTATCAGTCTGCGACTCAAAATGCTTTGAAGATGCTGGACCCCGTGCACCACTTGGGCATCCGCCTTTCTATCGGTGCTCTTCGTACCAGCCCCGTAGAAAGCCTTTAAGTTGAGTCAAGTGAGTGGTCGCTTCATCTGCAGAGAACTTACATGTCCTTTGTATATTTCCTTAAGGTGAAAGTAGACAAGAAGCACCCCTCATGCTCCACTATTAATGATTTGTCGAGCTCCATTCTGTTTCAAAACAGGCCTTCAATGAAGCAGCCCTACTCAGTTCGCCTGAAGGGTCTAGCTGAGGAAACTGATGTGTCACTTGAACGCAGTTTATTCGCTCCTGTAGCATGCCCGCCATCGTGGCAGCGGCAGACTATAGAATGTGATGTGTCTTTCCTAGAAATTACAAAACACGCGCCCATCGCCCATATCCGAACATACTTCCTGGAACTTCAACATAAATACACACGTCCTGAGTTCTTTACAGATGCCTCCAAGTCTAACTCCTCTGTGTCTTACGCTGCTGTCGACCCATCCTTTTCGGATGCTGGCTCTCTACATTCAGATACAAGTATCTTCACAGCTGAAACTTACGCGATACTTGTGGCCGCTAAGCAAATCAAACAACTACAACTACAAAAAGCAGTTTTTATATGGACTCCCTCAGTGTGGTAAGGGCTCTGCACACTCTTAAAAAACAAAAAAACCCTGTCCTCATCTCAATTTACTCCATTTTGTGCACACTCTACACACTCAAACAACATGTTGTTGTGTGCTGGGTGCCAGGGCACCGTAAGATCCAAGGCAACGTGATGGCGGATCAGCTTGCTGCATCCGTCCACGAAAGCAGTGCCACTACACCCATATCAATCCCGGCTCTTGATCTTAAACCGTCTCTCAAACGAAAGCTCAGGGACTACTGGCAAAGCAAGTGGGATAGACACACACAAAACAAGCTACACGTTATTAAGCCACACCTTGGTCATTGGCTGCCAGTATCAAAATCACGTCGTACAGAGGTAACACTAACGAAGCTCAGATTAGGACACACATACACGACACACTCATATCTTTTGTCCGGTGGCAATCCACCATTGTGTGACAGATGTGGTGAAGCACTAACAGTTATTCACATTTTAATCCAGTGGGAACAATCAGACACTCTATGAACACAACACTTTCAATTACCCTACTGACAACATATACCATTACACCCTGCAACGTTCGTCGGTAGGGGACCACTTTTCACCCGTAAATCGTTGCTGGCATTTTCAAGAGATGTCCGTTTCTACCATGTAATATACCCTGGCATTGCGTAGCGTGACCTCTCAAGAGAGGTTGCTGCTGCAGTGGCTACATTGAAAAGCACTTGCCTCGCGACCCTTGGACACAAGGGCGCTGATGAGGCATTTGTGCTAGTGTCAAATAGTTTTACACATGCTTTTATTATCAAAACCTTTTGTCACCCATTTTTATTATCCATATCACGCCACTGTCATGATTTTAATAGTTATGTTTTTACCTGTGTTAGCACGATATATTTTAAGGCCCCTATACAGCCACGCACCATATCATTGTCCACATCTCTAGTCGCTGAAATGGCGCTCTTTGGCCATCAATTGGCTCTTGCGCCATTAAGCCCTATACATCATCATCATCATGAGTTTGTTCTTTTTCATAGTGATGCAGACATACTGATTGTCATCGTGAGGTGCAATTGGTTGCACAACATACGTCAGTTCACGACAAACAAAGACGATGATTTTGCTGCACGCACCATTTGTTGAAGACATGACAGCTTCGTACCCCAAAAGTCTTATTGGCTTCGACAAATTGGGTTCACAAATGACGATGAGTGGAAACACGTTGGTAAACACTGACGAAAATCTGGAAGGCGTGATTTTAGTCCTCTGGCGTTCTATTGAATGACAGATGCAGCCTTGACTTCCTTACGAAATGATGAGGTGGGAGTAGCTATCTTCCTAGTTGAGAGATTCAAGCACTGGGCTTGGGGCATCCAACACTCCAAGTGCGCTTCAAGCATATAGTGTCTTCATGTCGACTAATATCGCTCGGATGGCTTCTATGAGGGAACGCAGCACCGAGATCACTTGACGACCTGTTTTAGGCAAATCTTTCGTTGCTGTAGACCGCTCTGGTGTGGCCGCAACCTGCTGAAGTTCCTTGGCAGAAGAGCGGGTCGGGAGCGTGGGCCATTCCTCCAGAGAAGGAGGCTTCTCCGCTTCTTTCGTAGAAGTGGTGGGTCCTTTCGCAGTGCTACTGAGTGGAACCGCTGAAGAGTGGGAACTAGCATTTCGGGAATGTGCTTTCTTTGAAGACTTTCAATGATGCCGACATCGACGCCGACGCCGGACTACTTCGGCTGCCTTCCTGTGTGTCGAGTTGTCTCGGGCCATTTGTCTGAGAACCGCGCACTCCTTTTGGATTCGAGGACAGTCTTTCGACGAGGCAGCGTGAGGACCACTGTAGTTGGCACGCTTCAAAGTAGTCGCCAGACAGGCGTCTTCGGCATGAGGTTTAGCGCAACGAGGACACAGTCATGAGTTGGGGCATACGCCCTTGACGTGTCCTAGCCTGAAGCACCGATGGCATTGAAGCGGCTTTTGGATGAATGGTCAAACCGGATGTCGGAAATGTCCAACTTTGACGTGGGACGGTATGCAATCTCCCTTGAAAAACACTTTTATGCAGCACGTATTTCCAAGGCGCCGCACTTGCGTAATGACAGTTCCCTCGTTTGCAGGCTTGATGAGGGTAGGCAAGTCAACATTAGGAATGGCAATGTCGATGTCATAAATTACACCGGCAATTGATTTATCATCTGTCGAGATAAAGGGGCGCATTTTAATGCTGCCTAGCTCAATCATTTGCTGCAGCTGTCCTAGCGCACTCACATCGTGCACATCTATGGCGAGAATATTCTTCCTTGGGTTGACTCTTACATCCTTAATTTGATCTGGCACCATACATTCTAGAGCAACGGAAAGGGCTTGCCTGTTCAAAAGTTGTAGGTTGCTTGAAGGATCTTCCGCCATAAATATGATGATGTGCGGCCAGCGTGCAGGCCTTGACTGTACAGTCGCTGTACTTGCAGGAGCTGATGCTGATGTATTCGCAGTCCTTCTCTTTGCCCTCTTACCCCGGACAGGTATAAAGCTGTCATTGGATGTGTCGTCTTCCGACATAGAATACAAATCAGCGTCTTCGGTGTCACTTGGGGAGCCAGCTCGCTTCCTTGTGGTTGACGGGTGTGAGGACTTCTGTCCAAACGGGCCTCAGGCATGCTCCGTGGCCATCACCGCAAGACAGGGAGGCGAGGCACCTCGAAAAACCGATGGTTTCACTAAAAAAAATACAGAGCGCAGAAACAAGCGTTCTTCTAAAGAGACACTTCTTCTTCCTCTCTTAAAATCTCCATGTCCAGAGAGACTTTGCGCACGGTGCAACAGTCGACATTCGCTACCGGGTGAAATGGGTCCTCGCTCCCCCCAGCGCAGCAGACAGCGGAGAAGGGGAGTCATGTCGGGACATGAGAACGGCAGAAATAGGTGGCAAAGCTCGCGCAAAGATGGTGGGCTGGCCTCAATTTCCACAAGCTGCAAACAGCTATTCTGCTTTTAACATGATTTATGAAAAATTTATGAATGATGTACATGAGCTTTACTAACCCACACTTTGTATGCTGGAAGTTCATGTTGTGACTACAGTTTTAGGTATTGTGAGCGGTAATACATTGCCACGCATGGTTGTTCCACCAGAATTCATGCTAGAATAAGACCCCTTAGCAATATGCACAGTTATTACACAATGAATATGTAGGTTTTTCCTAATACTATCAAGAAATGCTAACTGTGCGATTGTTGTGTCTTTGTCTAGGAGTGCTTGAGTACATATCAGTGGAGTTATTTTTTTAAATCTCACAGTGCATTCGCTTCTTGCTCATACGGTATCAGTGCAACTGCTTATTAATTTAGTTTTCAATGTCTTCTATTGCTGTTTGTGTGTAACATTATCCTACGCCCTTTCTAAAAAAAAAAATTGGAAATTGCACATTAGTCAATTTTCACAATACTATTTCGAAGCAAAGCCATGTGCTGCAACTTTCTCTCTGCCTTTATTTTTCGAATGTCACAGTGACCACATCGTGTCAAAAGAATAAATAAATCTTGTGCTCTAGGATAATCTCATTGTAATAGGCTTGCTTGCAGAGAATTCTGACTGTCTGAATGGCGTTTTATCTTCTTTCTTATTGTAGCCTTGCTGTGGCAGCTATCCCTGAAGGTCTCCCTATTGTGGTAACCGTCACCCTTGCCCTTGGAGTGATGCGCATGGCAAAGCGTAAAGCCATCATCAAGAAATTGCCAACTGTGGAAACGTTAGGTGGGAAATCAGTTTTGTGTGGTGTGTGTGTGTGCTAATGAAGCCACGAAAAAAAGTTGGGAGAAAAGACATTTATTAATTGTAGTTCTGAAGGATTTTTCAGCGACAGCGAAATTAGAAAGGATATGGGTATTAAAAGGTGTTTTTCAGAGAACCCTAAGTACAGTTAAAATCAATGTAATAAAATTATTCAAAGATCAGTATAATTAAATCTTTAATAAAATGAAATATTTAGCTTTATATAGCCTTAAGTCTATAGAGCGCAATGTATTTTTTTAGCTCAGTATAGGGAAGTTTCAGTGTTGTTTCTAAGAAAGATTAAGGCAATAAATAGAAACTTCTGCTAGTGCTGGTAGTCAAACGGGGTTCACGAGGTTTTTTTTGCTAATGCATTTTTCATATTGAGCACCACAAAACACTGCACCTGCTGATGCAAAGGTCAGAGGCTTTGGGGAATCTGGATGTTGGCCTCCTGATCTTCGGGGTGGTGTAAGTGGATAGAACATGTGTGAACACTGTGAACACCCTAGAAGATTGTGTTTACTCACTTTGTAATCAATGTGCAGCTGAGCCCAGATATAATGAAGTTGGTAAAATTGGTAATTTACTTTATTTCATAAGTTTTATTAATTTAAAGCTTAATATTTTGTGCACAGTATAGTGATCAACCGACTTAGTTTGACATGGATAGTGCCACAAGAATGTTCAATAATGTAGTGGCACAAAAAAAACACTCACTTTAAATATTTCAAAAAAAAATCAGTTTTGTTGAACCTGAGATTTGGTGGCCACAATTGATGCCTTTTGCTGGTGAAGTCCTCTTCGCAGTGGCTTTGTCACGAATTTATCTCGGGAGCACTTGTGAAAGATGGATTCGAGAGAAATGGGAGACAGGCGTGGCAAGACAAACACTCTTTATACCCTGACCTGACAGAACCAATAACCAGAATTCTCATTAAATCACTCAATAACACTCAATAGCTCAATAACAACCCGTGTACATGGTCAAACCGAAATTGACTGTAGCTCAGTCTAAATCTGTTACTAGCCCTAGCCGCTACTCCTAAGCCAATATGGCGTCAACACTGGAATGTTCTTACAGTTTGTCGTGTTGCGACTTACTGCCCTTTGCCGTGTCGACGTTTAGTTGACGCCTTTGTCGTTGACGGGTTGCTCTTTTTTTTTAAGGTTGCCAGCAGTTGTTCCCGCCGCATGAACCGCTTGTCCTCATTGCCAGTGTTTCCCGGTCGTCGTCTCTATCTTCAGTCTCACTAGGCTTATCTCGTCATGGACTCCCCTGCTAATGGGTCCACTTTTGTGACTGGTGTGGGCTGCTACCATCCCGGCTCGTATTGGGGACGCTGCAAGTTTATCAGAAACTGCTGGGCAAGAGTGTGGCAAGTCCGGGCAGCTTCACTTGAGTACCCCCGAGGTCAATGGTCGCTTTCCGGGCCTCTCACGCCGACATCCTTCATAACCGAGCGGCTATGCTGCTCCCGTCGCAGTCGCAACGCTGGTTTCCCACGTCTTCGCAGCTCGGACCCCCAACGCACAGTGCTAGCTCATCCTCTGGGATTTTTCATCACAGCTCTGGTCGCATGCCACAACTCTTTTTGCGACCAATCTCCTGCTTTAACGTGGCTGGTGCGTGTGCACCCGGGGGACTTTTTTCTCCTCGTGCACTGTCGCCGTGCTTCCACATTCAGCACGCGCCTCATGCCTCTCCTTTACTCATCACAGGCTGTATGCCAAGTAAAAATACAAGAAATGCAGGTACAAAGTACTCGTTTGTTATAAGATAAGCAAAGTTTTCGCAATGGTTCTGTCACCACAGCTGGTCATCAAAACACAGTGTGATTTAAAGGGGTGAGACACAGATGCTGTCGTATTCACCTAACTGGGCCACTTGCACTCTACAGATTTGGTCAACACGCAACATAAGAAACAGCCACACGTCACAAGAACAAGTAGCTGCTGGCTAAAATGTGGGAAAGCTAGGTAACAACCTGAATTACAGCTTCTTCATTTACAAACTTCATATTTTGTGTTTCACAGCATGTATTATGTACTGAATTCCAAGAATCTAGCAAGATCCATTACAGAATTGCAGATTTGGGTCACTGGTAAGCATTGTGCGAAAATCTTTTAGGTGTGTCTGTTACAGCTGGAAACTGCAGCACCTCCAAAAAGGATTGGTACGTTAAGAGGTTTCTATAACGGGGAGTCTGGCTCTTGTGGTTTTACAAACATATTTCGGTGTTCTTTGGTATTCTGGTCCCCCATAGTTGAAAACGCAGTGTACTTGCGCATAGCGGCCATAAATGTCTGTTTGATATCGGCAGTTTTGCTCATGTCGAAATTTGCATGCAGCCCCGCGCTGCACACCGATTTAGCGAACATTGTCAGGACATGTTTTTACGATGATTTTAATTTGTTCGAGGCTGTAGCCAGTGTCAGAGGAATAAACGGAACCAACACTGCCAGTACACAGCCATGTGAATCGTCGGAGGTGGGTGTGCATCACACATCATCACTGAGAAACACGCTGATGCGTGCAAATTACATTATGGCTGTTTTTCGTGATGTATCAATGCTCTGAAAAAATACTTAGCCTGAACTCTTCAGAATATATATGACCGAGTTAAAGGTTACATTTGGGTACATTACTGTGTGGCACTGACACTCGGCTTAGGAAATACGGCATTAGGGGAAAAATTCTAGATTGCCATTCTAGGTCGCTGAGTTCTTTCTCAGGCAGACTGCATGCACGAAACTATTAAGCAACTATCACAAGATTGTTGTTATAGTACCTGCACACAAGCAAAAATCATGTTGCTCTATACCCGCCTCAGTGACTTAGTATCTAAGGTGTCAGCATGCCTGGTCACAGCACTCACATTTCGAAGGAAGCAAAGTGCAAAAACACGTGTACTGAAGTTTACGACCTCATGGAAGAGCTTCGCGTGATAGTTTTCTCTTTCTCCCTCCCCTCTCCGTCTTCCCGCCCTTGTTACAATGAAAGCTGTTATAAGTTCACAACATGGTTCACATGCGCGCTGTAGTTGTCCGCAACCAGTGTTCGTAACTACTATCGCACGAAATAAGAAAAAAAACTCGATAAATAAAAAAATTGCCCGCAGCTTCCCTCGGGGGAACACTGAGGAGGATGCGGACCATATAATTGGTTAACGGGGTGTTAAAGTGCGACTTACTTGGGTCGATGGCTAAATTGGTTAACGTGGTTGTGAAATGGGGTGTTAAATTGCGACTTACTTGGGTCGATGGCTAAATTGGTTAACGTGGTTGTAGGAGGGGGTGTTAAATGAGTGAACACGTACACACGTATGCGAAAGGGCGGCGCTGGTCGAAGGGACGTCGATCATTGTGTTTGTGGATTCGTTGGAATTCATTTCACCGCGACCTTGGACGTCGACGCGCCGTACAAACCAACCGACGAGCGGCAACTGAGCGAGCAAGCGCCGACCTTGAGTATATATACAGCACGACGGCGCATGCACTGTCAGCTGTTGAATGTTCTCGAAGCGCGACGCCACATGCGCGTCCACTGGAGAATCAGGAGAATTGTAGATGTCGAACGCGGTGTGTAGAGGAGGAAGGGTGCACAGATGGTGGAGGAGTGAAGCGCGCGCGGTGTGTAGAGGAGGAAGGGATGCACAGATGGTGGAAGAGTGGGCGACGGCGCATGCGCGCGCGTCAGCTGTCGAATGTTCGAGAAGCGGTGCGGACGGCGCACTACAAGGCGCGAGTATAAGATGCTCCGCATCTAAAACACTCAAGGACACAATGAGACTCTAACCCGGGTCCCCTGTGTGCCAGCCCAGCATTCTACCACTGAGCCACGCCGGTGCTTGGAACTCCTTTGTAAACTGGCCTTTTGATGTCAGTAAAGGAATCACGTTAATTTGCGTGTTTTAGAACAGTAAAAGAACAACCAGATGTCGCATAATGCGATTTGTGCACCGAGTTGGTCGTCGAATGCTTCAACCCTTTATAAGAGCTTGATTTTGTTCACCTATTCACTGTGACACATACCCACTGTGGGGGATTGTGGGGATTACTAAATTTTCCGCCATAATTCTTTATTGTGGTCAGCCACAGCACAAAAACAATTCCATAAAGTTCTTTGTAAGTGTACAGTGGGTACCACGCTTCTACTAAGAATGACGAAGGATGGAATAGCGAATGCCTGTAACCCCCGTGCTCTCTCAAGGCATGGTTCAGTTGTGGCGCGCTGCATGATTGTGCGTTGTGGCCACGCTCATGGCAGCGGTAGCAGACGACGCCTTTCCTGCCATCAGTAAGGGATTTCGCCACCTCACAAGAGCTAGGAGGTCTCCGTTTGCTAGCCACATGCAGGCCTCTGCGATGGAATCTTCCCTCAGGCAATGGGGCATGGGGGGTGCCGTTCTCGTTCACCCTGCAGGGCAAAGGGGCACGCCCGGTCGTACGAGTACAAGTCGAGAACCCAATCCGACACAACAGGCGCGTCTCATCATTTCCTCGCGGCTGAGGCCGCCTCGTGATTAGGCAGGAGACGGAGTGACGAGTCATCACCAGCCCATGCACAACAAGGCTCGAGAGAAGCAGACAGTGGTGGCGGTGGGTGGTGGGCTCTCGCTGCTAGTATGTCACCTTGAATCCACTTTGCTGATAGGCCAGCCTGTTTCGGTCACAATAATGGGTACTTTGAAGGTAAGCGGTGAAGGTTAGATGAGCCTGGCAAATGGCTCGCTCCACCTTCTCAGCGCCTGATGCCGTATGGTCGTCAAGGAGGTAGAGTTGCTGCAAAGCCCAGACGTACTCGAGAAGAGATTAGTTAGAAGCTCTAGCTCGTGACGCATGCGGTGCTTGTAGTCAGGAGAAAGGAACTTGCTCTGAAAAAGTGACCTAGACACCTCCATCGACCGAACTTAATGGCCGACAAGTTGATACCACTGCACCGCTTGGGTTGTCAGCACAATAGCCTAGCATTATGCTGTCGTTAAGCCATACCGCCTGCTGATAGCGTTGGAGCGCCTCGAGGTACTCCATGGCACTCAAGCGGTTCGAATAACCACTGTACTCAGGCAAAGGTGACTTTAGGCTGCTCGGTGCATTTGTCTGAGGGGACTCGCGAACTCCCTTTACAACAAGGCTGCGAGCAGGCTGCTAACAACAAGACATTTAGGAGCTGTGCTGCAGTCGCATGCAGTGACGATTGCTTCAACGCAGGCATGGCCGTGACTGGGTTGCACCCCTGTTCTCCAGCGTGCACGTCAGACCGAAAAGGGCCAATAATTGCACGGCACAGTGTTGTGTTATTGCTCTGACAGGTGTGCAAGGCCTCTCGTGGTAGACAAGCTGATCAACCGCGGGGCACTGTGGCTCAGGACTGTCCGAAGTGCCGCCTACGCCCACCTGAAGCATGCGAGCGTCGAGAGCAGCAGCAACGTTATCGTCAAAGCAAGCACGCTCGCGGACAGTGCTCTCAACTCTTTGCGCTCATGCCCAAAGCGGGTCAGTGATCGCGTGCTTGCCGACACCTAAGTGGCCCGAAAGGAAGGCTTGAGTGCGGAGGGTTGGGCGGTAAACTGCGCTGCTGACAAGGGAAAGCCAGTGGTTGGAGATGATGCATAGCACGAGCCCGTATGCGCGTGCATCTTTAACCGCTGAGAAAGCCCACAACTGGCTTGGCTGGAACCGTAATCTGCATTCGAGCGGATAACATCATCATAGGGGACCCCAAAGGAGGGATCTCTCCTTTTGACCGAAAGCAGAGGGCCGCCGTGACGTCCATATTTCGTGCTGTCAGGTTCTTCCGCATTGGTTTGCTAATGGATTAGCCTACGAAGCGACCGGGGATGGACACAACAATCTCCACTGCCGTCACACACAAAGACGCAGTGGCCGGGTGGGCCCTCTTTTTTGGCGCATCTTTGTCCCACTACTGTAACTGAAAAAACACCGAATTGGGTGCTGGTTGCAATGTGTATTTTTTAATAATAATACATGTGCATGAAAACCCTGTTTACCTAAACCATGTAACTGGTAAAGAAGTTTCAGCTTGTTGCCTTGGTCCCTCTTTGTGGCAGCAGGGAGGCTTTTTAAACCATAAATAAATAAGCTTTGTTATATTGAGGTTATAATGCATTGTGTTCCATGTAAACAAAGTTGTTTAAAATACACTTCATTATATCAATCTTTAACTCTACTACTATCGGTCTGATCACCATCAAATTTGTATTTTGTGAATTTGCATGGGGCAGTGTCTTGTAATGCCTTTAAAGCTGAAGTGTCCAGAAATGTATTTTACGATGCTTTAAGTTCCATGCAGGGAATCGGCAATAAGTATAACTTGCTGTTCTTTTATTTTGTGCAGGTTGTGTTAATGTTGTGTGTTCTGACAAGACAGGAACTCTGACAAAAAATGAAATGACTGTTTGCTCCATCATGACATCAGAGCTTTACCATGCTGAGGTAATGTTACCCTTCATTATCAGGATTACTATGGACATTTTACGAATACTGACTTGGGGCTGTGCTCTTGCTTGCCTTCCCAGGATGGCTTCAAAGCTGCTTTAGTCAGATGTGCATGTTATGGAACCTCCTTCTGTACTGGGTTGTTTCTATCTAGCGCAACTGGGCAGTGTAGTGCCGATATGTTGATGTGGCATTTTTTGCATGTAATATTCAATTTTTGAACATATAGTACGCTCACTTCAAACTGATAGGGCTTATGCCATGCTAACTTTCATTGCTTTAAGACCTGCCTTTTCACCGATTGCTCATTGATAAATAGTTCATTGGGGATTCAAGGCAAGGTTTCCAGAAAAGTGTAATGGCCAGACAGCACTGTTAGTGTTGTGTTCACTCTTGGCGAGTAGCTGTTTTGTGATTTTTACTAACGTTTGCCACTGTATGCTGGTGCTTATTGAGTAAATGACAATAATTCTGATTTCATAACATGTGTGTTTCTGCGTTCTGTGAAACATTTTCTGGCATGTGCACTGGACGAAAGTGCCTTTGCTGTTCTCACTAGATTTAATGAGCTTGAAAGGTATTCTCAAGTATTGAACAAAGTCTTGTATTGTTCACCCAGTTATTGTTGACAACAAATGACTTTGGCTTGTTGGGCTGCACTTTTCTTATTTACTTATTTGTTACTTTCCACCTGAAGACTTCACAGTTACGGGATTGGGGTGGGCTGGCGTCGTAAGCAAAGGCCAGCTGAGGCAATCATTGCACGTGGCACATGGTCAGACGTGAGAGGCATCTACAGGAGCACAGTGGAAGGGTCTGTTGTTTAATAATACATATGTAATGATTTCTTTATTCATGATATTTAGCTAGAACATTACAGATGTGATACGAAGAATTTGGGGGGGGGGGGGGGGATTATAAAAGCTTTCTATAATTGTCACCAAGCATATATTAGTGAAACACATGTATTCTACAAAAAGATGTGCATGGATGCCCAAAATGAACTGTCCAAACAAGACAGAAGTTCAGACATAGTTGAAAAAGAAGTGCCTCTAGAGGAAACATTTCAACAAAGAAGCATTCCTTTGTCAGAGCCCTTATGAATACATTTTTTCTTTTCGAAATGTTTCATGTTGAAAGAACGGAGAAGTATGTGACAAAATAAGTACCTGTATAATTTATGTCTGATTAGCACTGTGAAAGTAACGCCAGTGTGGAAGAACTGGATTCATACCTAGGGATGCTTGTACTAACTGGTGGGGTGATTTCAAGTCTGCGTAATGTGTTGAAGCATTGTTAAGAAGAACAGTTTCTGTCTCTTTTTTTTTTTTACAGGTTACAGGGGTTGGCTACAATGCAGAGGGTCATGTGATCCTCACGGAACCTGGGGAGAGAGATGTGCAGATGGATTCAATGAGGTTACTTCTTGAGGTGAAGCTTTCAGTGTTGTAACTTCTATTTTTGGGAGCTGTTGTGTGGGTTATCCATAAGTTCAGATTTTGCTTTGTCCTGTTTGTTCACTGAAAAGTACTAAAATGTGTGTTTAATTATTAGAAGTTAGGAATATTCAAATTTTCTTATAATGTATTCAATACAGTTAAACCCTTTTGGAAGAGATATGAACTAGGGAGCATTTCTTGTCTTTCATATGAGGTGTCTCTTATAAGCAGGGTACCAGATTTTCATTCGGTTATCAACATGTATTTCAATGTTGGCACACTGGTGTCTTGATGCCCATTTGTTACATCAGTGATAAAGGACTACAACTGTAGTTTCTTGTTTATCACTTAAAAATTTTGCCCTTCGATGGACAAATTGTTTTCACCCAAAATAATAAAAACAAAAATGAACAACAAAGTTCTGTTATTAGAACAAAAAAAAGTATATTAATTAGAAGAGATGTGTTTCATAGGCTCAGAAAAATGCATACACAATATTACTGTCACATTTGTATCATTCAGAATCATTGTTCCGAACATGCTTCTGAGAAGTTGTTTCTCGGCCATGTTTAGTAAGTTTCGAACTGTTAGCATTTCTTTATCTCGGTAGCTGACATCGAATGAGTCTTATTTGGATTTTGCATTAGGGCAATACTCTAAATTCAATCAATTGCCACTGAATTGTTCACAGCATAAAAAACAGTATTCATCCCCCATAGCTAATTCCTGTGTATGTGAACACATATGAGAAAACTGTGGTTGTGTGCCCTCCAGAAAGTCAAACCATGGAGAAACCACCAGAAACTATTTACACTGAGAGCCAGTGAATTTTGTGATTGCCAAAAAACAACTTGCACAAGCATGTTAGCATTGTCTATGTATGGTGGTATCGTTTTTATGCACTCGTGCTTTCCTGTGAACAGGTGAAATAACATCTGTGTGGTCAATGAATGAGCTAGTATCAGGTGGCTACCCTTTTGATAGTCTAGAGATCAGGTAGGCATCAGTTTTCCATGAGTGCATTGGAACCAACCTGCAAAACAAAACAGAAAAATTCAGCCAGCTCCATCTCATGAACAGTGTAAAAACAGTGAAACTTATGCCCATCCATATACAGGAAGCCTTCCCCTCTCGCAGCATACACAGCCCTCCCTACCTGCTGATGCTTACTCTCGCCACAATATGAGGCCATGTGATCAGCGCTACCACATCCCTGGACATGAAAAGTTCAACTAAGAACAGCTTTGCTGTTAAAATAATTGATCGCCACATGCCTGCACATGCGTTAATGTTTGAGCGATTGTCAGAGCTTCTGCATTAGATACCTTGAAGTGAAAACCGGAGGTCAGTGATGCAATAAAAAATGTCCTGTATTTTTTATTGCATCATTGAGAGCAATTGCTGGGTAACCCACAGGTCACGAGATCAAACCCTGGCTGTGGCGGCTGCATTTTGATGGAGGCGAAAATGCTGTAGGCCCGTGTGCTCTGATTTGGGTGCATGTGAAAGAATTTCAGGTGGTTGAAGTTTCCGGAGCCCTCCGCTATGGCTTCTCTCGTAATCATATCGTGGGTTTGGGATGTTGAACCCCACATATCAATCAAAGCAATTTCTGGGCAAAAAAGAGCTAAAAAAAGTGGCACCAAAAATATATGGCATCAACCATTTGAGAGTTTGTGACATAGCATGTTTACATCATTGAACTTCAAAACCTTAACGAAGTATTGACACACTATTTTTACATATTTTCCTTTCTTTCTCTCTCTATTTCTTTTAAACATTAAAGGTCTGAAATCATAAAAGAACACACAAAAAATACTCAAAGGCTTAGAGGGCCCTAAATGACTTGAATTAACAACACTTCTACAGTCTGTCTTGGTTCCATTTATCAAGGTTGCAGCACTGTATCACAGTGTCATGATGCAGAAGCTGGTCACATGGGACTTTCTTGTGGCTCGCTTGGCCACTTTTTTTGTCGCTACTCATTGTGAAGACCTGTGTCTTAAAATGGTCATTCTGAAAGAAGTCCTTAATAAAGGTGCCACAATGCCAATTATATCCATACTCGGCCACCAACTACAATGAAATATGTTTACAGCCTTGTCCTCTACTAGGGAAAAGGGATCTCTATAACTTCAAGATTTTACCTAGTCTCATGTTCAAATCTTTGTTAAAGCAGGCACAGTGACATTGGCCTCAGCAAAATAACATTGCTGAGGCCAAGGAAAAATTTGACTTATGTAGACACTGCTTTTTGCTGATAGACAAAATAAGTGACACCGAATTGGTTTCTGTAAAGGTAAAAATGGTTTCTGTATCAGCTCGAGGTCGGGGGATTGAATCCCGGCTGTGGTGGCTGCATTTACGATGGAGGCGGAAACGTTATAGGCCCATGTGCTCAGATTTGGGTACATGTTAATAAACTCCAGGTGGTCTAAATTTCCGGAGCCCTCCACTGCGGCGTCTCTCATAATCATATGGTGGTTTTGCGACGTTGAACCCCACATATCAATCAGCTCGTGAACAAAATGCACTAAGGAATGGGGAGCAGTCAGTGGAACATCTTTATTAGAATGATAATGTTAACCTTTTGAAGGCTGAATATTATCACCAAAGACTTTTTTTTTAATTGCCGATTTAGAATTAAATAATGCTTCCAACAATTTTTTGAAGTGACCACTCAGTAAGAAAAGGATATTTTACATGTGTATAGATCAGGGTCGTTGAGGGGGTTCTGACACCCCCCAAAATTTTTTGATGCTTCAACTTTTTGGGTGATAGTGAAGTATTTACATGCCTTTACGTCAACATTCTACAAATAAACAACCCCCGAAAAAGATTTCTTAGAACATCCCTGGTATACATAAATTGTTTATTCATGGTAAAAAATGAAAATGAAAAAGTAGCTTATGTGCATAATAAAAACATATGCTTATCTGAATAAACATGTCTCATGTTTATGCACACGCTAGAAAATTACTGTCACGCTTGTGCCATTCATAGTTATCGTGCCACGCCTGCTTCAAGGAAGATGCTCCTTGGTTGGATTTTAGTTTGGGAATTATCGATTTCTCATCTTGATAGTAAGTCCTACGAATCTAATTTTGATTGGGCGTCAGGGCTGTAGCGCTGATCACCACATGACTCACTCACAACAAGGAAGCCGGCATGCATGCTCGTGTTGTCATCACAGTGTATGTGAGCACGTGCAATATAGGAAATATCTATAGCTTTATGCTTGTCACTATTCCCAGATGAGTGAGAAACGGCCTCTGATTACCATTCTTGGTATCGCCATTGAGAGGCTATCGAATTTCACAATTCTCGAGACAAAATGTGCAATTATAGGGAGCTCTTCTCGCGGTGTGCAATTCGCTGGAGCGTGTTCAGTTACGGAAAAAATGGTGAGTCTTGACATCATGGCGCGCTTGACCACGTCAGTGCACCGAACCTGCCAGCACATTCCAAGCATAAAAGAACCTAAGTGGACGAAATGTAGAGCAACAGGACTTCTAAACAAACCGGACAAGTCTGCACGTGTTGAAATGTTTGAAGAGTGATGCAGGGAATGTGTACAAACCTTTCAGAGGCATTAGACGGGCAGCTGCGTTATACCTGATTTAAGGGCTAACATGATAAGAGTCTATGCACGGTTTTGTAAAAGCTCATTTAAAAGCGGATCTCTGGGGGCAGCATCTGTTGTGGTGAAATGCATTCCACTTTTCTCGTTTGTGTCGAGAGTTGTAAAAGCTACGTGAGGTCAAAATGACATCATGAAAGAATGATCAGAAATAGGCAACGCGCTCCAGCCAATCAGGGGAGGCCGAATTATACATGTCCACAAATTAGACACCGCGAGAATAGCTCCCATGGTCGCATCGCTTGTATATGGCAGCATTATTTATATGTACTATTACCCGCCTCTGTAAAGCTGAAATCGCACCCCTGTAGGCAATAAATGAGCTGGTTTTAGGCAGTCACAGTGTTAGAGATGGTAGACCAGTTAAACATCAGTTAATGCATAAAATGAAAGCCACCTGCAAGACTAAAAAACTTCCAACTGTGCACACACAGATGTGCCAGCGAGGCTCACTTTGGCGGCCTCCACATGTAAACAAACCTTGGAATAAAAACCAAAGGCCATTGGCACAACAAAAAAATTCTCTGCATTCCTGCAGGGTGATAGCACTTGAAAGTCGTCTTGTTATTTAAACATACGGATGGCGTTATATGTTTATGGCATGAGCCATTTGGGAATAATTTTGCGGTAAATTTTGTTTCAGTCATAACCATTTTAGTGTCAACACACATAACCTCAGAACCTGTTTTTGACTCCACCCACAAGAAAGAAAGAAAGGAAAAATGAAAGAAACAGTTGTCAAAATGCTTAAAGAAAAATTATTTGTACTTCATCTAGAATTGTAGAATTCTAATCCTCCTTTGGTATTGAAGAATAGCCTATTTTTTAACTGGTGAGCTTGTTTGCGCCTGATTGCTGCTTACCTGATGACGACATTGCAAAGGACAGAGCAAGAAATTATTGGATTTTCCTGACACGACATTTTCAATTCTCTGCTGCTTGTAGTGCAATGATATTTAGCTTGCATCACTTCATGAGCCTTGTATACAGATCTAAAACAACTTTATATTCTGTTAAAGTATTTCCGGGTCTCTTTAAGACAAAACTGAAGCATTTAAACATCTCGTTTTTTGTCCTGTAATTTTTTTTGTAGGGCGAGCTTAAGAAATATATAAAAAATTAGTACATGGTGCTATAAATGACCCTTTATTGTATGCAAGAAGGCATGGCAGGTGTCTCAGGTAGTACTGCAAGCCTTGTTGCCGCTTATGACTTGTTAAAGCTTCGTGTCTGCTTGCGGAGCTGACATTTAGTTAATGTTTATGCAAAAAAATTTTGCAGCTGTGCTATAGAAGGCTCATACTTCAGAACTTCTATTAATTTTGCACATTCAGACCATTCTTGATGAAAATCTTTCTTGAACAGATCCTTCCAGCGGTTTACTTCAATACTACTTTAGAAAAATGAGATTCAAAAAAAATTTAAGGTATTGCTAGGCCCACTTCAATTTTTTTTTATTTTGTTTAATTAAAAAATGTTGGAAAGGTTTGAAAAGTGTAGAATAACAAAGAGCTGAGCTAGTTTGTATTCGTGTGAACACAGACACAAGAGAGAAGTCAATGCACCACAAATGCCGACTTTTAGATGAGTTGTTAGTCAGCGCTTGTGGCATCTCTACTTCTCTCTTGTGTCCATGCTTGCGCGTCCTGTCTTTGGAAAGTGTACTTTATTGTTTTTGCTTGGTTTACTTATTGTATGCCTTGTTTTTTTTTTCTTATGGCAATAAATACAGTAAACTTCCCTTAAGACGAATTCTTGCTTAAGACTAACAACACGGGAGTGTTTGTTTGGTTTCTCACAGACTCAATGAAAAAAAATCTGCTTAAAACGAGCCGCGTAACAGGCCTCTTCTGTTAAGACGAACTCTGGCAGCGACTGACGATGACAAGGATTTTGTGCATCAAATATTATAATCTTGATGAGGGAATTCAGGTGAACTTGAGAAAACAAAATGGGGAGGTGAAAGAAAAACTTCCCTGTACAAAGACTCAGAGCAAATCTAAAGTAAATTGAAATGTGCAGAGAGAAAGGGAGATAAGTGGGAAAAAAAAGGTTAGCACATAAACCTGGTATCTCCCTCACACCTAGCTTGTAGGTGGAGAAAGGGGGCTGGCATTATCAGCAAAGAAAGCAACAAGAAGCGTTCATCCTTTTGTATTCTCCTCGCGTTCTTTAGTTCCCACAAGCTGTGGTCAGTTAGTGTTGTTTTGCATAGGGCCTGTGCGCGTTGTATCTGTTCCCAGTGAAATGCAGAAAATTGTGAAGTGCCATTTTCATTATGAAAGTGCATGACAAAGGGAGTTAATTTTGCACACTAAATATAACTGCATTGTGTCTTTTTGTGTGCCCAAGGCTTGTGATCGGGAGTAGCATAAACGGAGCTCTTCAGCTGCATCTCGTTCAAGAAAAGTTACTGCGGGCTGAGCATAAAAAAATATTCGAATCTCAAAGAAAAGGTTGGAGACTTTTATAAGCAACTTGGTGTATATTGGCTTTGTCAAGGTAGCGGTATGCAATGGAGGCATATCCAAAGGTGGTAGCAAAGCCATTAAAACAGCCTCTTAGAAGGTGAAGAGCCAGTAGAATAAATTTTTTATGTTTTGAAGGAAAATTGTGCTTGTCTTTTCCTTCTTATCTTTTTCTAATTGTCAAAATAGGGTTGTGCTACAGTTTCATCGTTAAAAATGTGGTAGCAATTTACTTATCGGCATATTTATTATGAACTCGGAAAATCGAGTGCTCCTTAGATTAGTCAAAATACTCTACTTGAAAGCATAGTTTTTATCAAGCTGAGCTAAATCAATTCTTTTTTCTTTCCTTCCCATCATATAAGTATGTTTCATTCAGTGTTTTCAAGCAATATATTTAGGTGTACTTGGCGTGTTAGCATTCTCTTTTGGGGGGGGGGCACTTCTGATAAGACAAACAAATGATTGTGGCCCCTTCAAGTCTTAAAGGGCCACTCACCAGGCCTCATACCAAGTTTTAGTTAGAGAGTGGAAGTTGTTGGGTGTCTGATGAGGAACGTTTTGCCACAAAAATGTTTCAAATCGGTTCATTACGAGCGGAGAAAACATGTTTTTTGAAGCGGTGCGAAATGAGAGTGAGAGGAGGCGAGCTCGAAACTCTTGCCGCTCCTCCACATAGCCTTCGCAAGCCAAATCTCTTCCCCACCCTCTTCAGAATCCAACCATGAGGTGACGTACGCATGACGTGCCCAAACAAGTCCAACCCCCGAGCACACGAGCAGCGTTGCTTTGTTCACCAGCGTTATTTTGTGGTCTTCTGCCTGTTTCTGCGGGATAGTTTAGAAACGCTGGCTTAGACGCGGTAGAGTAGATCAGCACAATGAGTGCGCGAATGCGTAGGAGCGCTCTACGGCAGTCGTCTGCTCAATGCGCTGGCACATTAACCCCGCATCTCGTAGCATTTCCCAGTAAAAAAAAAAAAAAAGAGAGAGAAAAACGCGCACATTTTTTTATTGCGTCTCATTATTTATTTCAAGTTTTACTAATCTCTTAAAGCAACAAATACATAAACTATGCATGCTGTGTTAAATCATTTTTGCCATGTCACGTGGGATACTGTCGACAACGTCAGAGCAGACACGTCTACGTAGTGGACCAACGTCACTGCATTGCTGTGTACGTAGGGCCATTCCTACGCCTACGTCATGCCGTTTCTCTACGCGTGCGGTGGCAGAGGGGAGAGGGAGGAGCTTTCATCTTGAAATTTGACCGATTTCCGCGGCGTGTAGCGTTGCAAAGTTTGGAAGACGTGATTATGAACGCCTCGTCTACGCATTGCACTTGTCAGCTCAAAATTGTCAAACCTGGTGAGTGGCCCTTTAAAGAAAGTCTACTGTGGTGTGGAATGGTACACATATTTTCTAGTTTGCATGAAGTTTACTAGGTTGCTTTTTCACGTCTTGCAGTATTTTTTTTAAGTGACGTTGAATGAAGGCAACGTGTGAAATATGCCTCAGAGGCAGTGATGTATGCTGCAATAAGGAATGTCCCTGTACACACTTATGGTATTGCTGTTTCCTTTTCACAGTGTGGCTCCATCTGCAATAATGCTGATATCTTGGGGAGTGAGCTCAGAGGGCAGCCAACAGAAGGGGCGTTGTTGGCTGCAGCCCACAAGGTATTTTAATTGGATTGCTTGCTTCAAAAAGTTGAAAGGTACCATTTTTCTCTTAAGGAAGTACACTGCACTGCTGTTTACTTACTACTTGGGGCTATCGCACTGTGTATCAGAGGAGTCGGTACACGCTGCGATACATTGGACAGTAAAGGAGTACCAACTTCAACATTGTAAAAGTTTGCAAACACAAGTCACTATGACTACTGACCGAGATAATGTTTGAAACACTGTAACACAAACATGGGGCCTTTTGTGCCAAATTGGGTGCCTTCATGACATCATTGAACCCAGTGAATGGTATGGTGCGAAAATTCAATATAAGTGATAATTTGATAAAAGTTACTCTCAATAAAAAATAAAACGTCTCGCTTTAATGGCACTGTAATTGTGGGGAAGTCTAAAAATGAGGAATCCAGAGAAGCAAACCTTTATTGGTGTGCAAAAAGGCAGTCAACCTTTTCTGTCTCATGTTATTGCCAAACATACGCAATCCCTATTTCAGTTAGCTCACACATTGCGGGAGGCCATGTCGCACATGCATTTAACTTTGTTCCCCAACAGATGAAGGTACCGTAGAGTCTGTGCCATAGTGAACGTTTCACTTGGCTGTTTATACAATCGCTCTTTGTCAAGGCCATGAAGCACGATGTCATCTATTCCTGCATTCATAGTTGGGGCAAAAGCAAGAACAGCACTATAAACCAGCGAGAACAAGTTGAAGACGCCATCTACATCTTCACTGGCAATAACATGCATTGCCTCATCACAGCATGTCTGGTCATTAACCCCTGTTGTGGAAAAAGCCAGCCTATGCAAAGCAGTTGGCAGTGCACATAGCAGGCCACAAAAGCATTTGCAGGGCACAGAAGACAAAGAACTTAAAAACATGTGTCCACAGTTTACAGCTGTCCAGCATTTATCCAGACAGATGCACAGTATACACTGAACTCTGAACTGTCCGACAATCGACCACAATTATAAATAAGCTACATCATGGCTCAGAAAGTGTTGCAGAATGCCACTAGTGCAACTTGTGGTTGAGTCAACTAGCATGGTGCATGCTGAGCAGAGTAGTATATATCTGCGAATTTCTTTGTGCACTATCATCACCACACGTCACTCTGCCCGTAACGCCGACTCTGCAAGGAGGAGAAGGGATGGCCTGCATAGAAGGAGATAAATTCAGGCTTCTCTCATGAGACCTGATCATGTCCGCTACCAATGATTTTTTTTTTCCTCCTTCCTCCTTCATAAGTTCTGGCCATGGCAATAGACATTTAGAAAAAGGGTCAGTCTTGCACAGCATGGCCAGTCTAAGTGGAGGAGGCTATTCGTCGATTAGTGTGGCTTAAAATGCATACGTTTGAGCTAGGTCAGGACTAGAGGAAATTTTGTTTGAAGCACTAATGCAATGGTTGCTTGGTGGGCTAGTTGGTTCATTTCAGCATATGTAACAGCGCGTAAAACTAGAAAGAATGGCACAGACAGAGTTTAAAGAGTGCTCTTAATGCTATGTGTCGTCTTTTCTCGTTTTACATGCGGTCACATGTACAGTAATGCCAGTAAGGCAATTTCATTCTAGCGAGGGTTTACTATGTTTCTCTTTACCTGAAAAACTTCTTTTGTAGCTATTACACACATCTGTTATCTTTTCATTTCAGATGGGAATTTATGATGTGCGAAACCATTATGTGCGGCTTCAAGAGATCCCTTTCAGCTCTGAGCATAAAATGATGGCAGTGAAGGTCATCCCCAAGTTTGGAGGGGTAAGGCGTCTTTCTTTGTGTAGCATTTGGACACGTACATTGCTTTCTATTTCAATTCAAGTTGGCTGTATGAAATGTGTAAACAGCTCCTTTAACATTAGAGTGTACCTTGAAGTAATTACGAATAGATGTTAATTCACTTTACCTATATGCAGTTTTGGTGACCCCAAGTAGTTTCTTTAATGTGTATATAATATTGATATCTAAGACGTATGATATTTTGGCATATTTGTTTGAACAGCACACTCGGTTTTGACAGTCACAAGGTGAAAAAAAGTAAGACTAACATATTTATACCATCTATCGTTTGATCTTTTATTTATTGTATTTTATTTGTTGGATACTGTGATGCTAAGCAAGTCCTACAGAAGTGAACAATGGATACATAAGTCGATATTGCAATAGAATAACTAAAACGTTGTTATCGCACTTCAGCATAGCATTTTATGTGACAAAGTCATTTATACAGATCAAACAGAAAAACAGCATAATTTTATTTTTATATAACTCAGTGTTATGTAGAGAGAGTCTGGAGGAATAAAGGGGAAATGCAAGTCGAAAAATTTCATTTCTTGCAAAATGTCTCATATTTCTGGTTTTTGTTGCACTGTAATCCTCAAACCTTTTTCTTTTATCTGTGAAAATTTCAAAACTAAGTTTGAACAGCAAAATGCCAAAAAAATGTGTATGGCGGCGTCGCGATGGCTCGAAATTTCGTGAATTTGCGCTGATGTTGGCCATCTTTGACTGCACGCTGCTCCCTGTCGCAGCGCCGCATGCCGTCGCGGTCGGTTGGGAAGGTTGCGTCCAGCCTTCTTCTAACAGCTCCGACGATTGTCAGTTTTGTACGTGGGCAAAATAAAAATAAAAATGAGGCTTTTTTATCACGTGGGTTGAGCTTTTTGAAATGCACGGCGCCCTAAGCCGCATCGCCATTGGCTACCGAGTCATTGTCAGCTGTGTCGGTGGCAGCCATCAGCATTTGGTCCGTCTGCTTTTCTGCGCATCTACACATATTTCCGCGATGACAAGCCTGAAAAAGTGAAACGTGAGACCGCAGAAGTTTCAAACGGCGCACAAGTTCAAAAGAAAGTGGCGTAAAGTGCCTCGAATGACGGCGACTGAAGAGAACCAGCCTGCATGTACTAGGCCTAACAGCGGTATCGACGAGTGCGCAATTGACAGGGGCTGCGTTAAAGGGATTGACGCTGCGCTTTCTTTCATCAGTGCCTCGGAAAAGAAGCCCGGCTTCTTCTAGAAAGCAGAAAGACCGTGCGATGAGGTAGGTGCAACGACAGTTTTGTGGGGCACCTTCTTGCTGACGTCACTTGTGGCAGGAGCGGCATGCCCGGCTTGCAATATTATTAGAAAACTTGGCAAGGCTCTGTTTGGCGTCTCATACCCCAGTTGCCAGACTTTGGGATGGTTGTTGCTAGACTGCTGCCAGATTCGGTGGAAAAATTTGCCCATGTAGTAACGACAAGGTTCTGTTTGGCATCTCACACACAAGTTGCCAGACTTTGTGGTGGTTGTTGCCAGACTGCTGCCAGATTGGGTGGAAAAAAATTGGGTGAATTCATACTTTTTGCTTGTCAATGCTTTAAAAGTAGCAGCTACCTTTATCACTTCAACTGAATAGTAGTTGCATTTTATGTCACAATCATAAATCAAACCCATTGCCTGCTTGCAAAGTGGCCAAAATAACCTAACTATGTGCACCATCAATTGCAAGTTGACTAAAGAAGAAAAGAAGGAGGGGGGAAAAGATAGAAAACGAGGTGATCTGGCTTATCAATCACGTGCCAAATGCTTCTTGAGTGACTTTTGTCGCAGTACGCTGGCATCATGCAAGGAAGCTTACTATGATTGAGCAGGCGTTATCAGTTGTTGCACGAGACAGAACATTCTACCCCTTAGTTACACATGCATGCACGCACTGTATAGTAAAGTTCACCAGTATGATCCATGACATCTAAAAACTTCACTCCTAGTCATGCATAGCTGTCTGTGATGTTGCTGCGGCCCGGAGAACCGATAAACATTACAAAACAAGTTGGCATGCTGTTCTGAGTTTTATTTCTTAGAGCTTATTTATGACAATTCATAATGAATATAGGGGTCCCCTAGAGTTTCAGCTATCAAGAGCCGGATGTACTCTATCTGTCTTGTTAAGATTGTAGACAGGTAGAATATCCATTTAGTTAGCTTAGTTTGCAGTAATAGTATTACTGAGAATTTTTTTGCAATCAAGAAATTATCCAGGACCTGTCGGGCTCATTCGCTGCTTATTTCATGGTGCCATTGCAAAAGATGCAAGTAACTTTCTGCTATTCTTGACAACAAATTGTTAATTTCCTGTAACATTCTGTGCAGTAACATTAAACATTAGCTTTATTTACAGAAATTAGCTTTATTTACAGATCTATGATTCTTTTCTTGTATTTTTGAAAGGTGTTTCAGGGTCCCTCTAATATTTGTGAGTGTTCCTTTCCAATGCTTTGTACAAATTTTATCATATTTTTCTTGTAGCATCACTTGTGATGTCTCTCTAAATTTATAATTAGCTCTTGTTAATCCATCACTCTATTCAGCTAAAGCTGTTTAATTGTATGCCTCACACCTTATCTTCTTCAGTGGTATTTTAAGTACAAAAAATGTAATTTTGGCTATACTGAGCGTGTTTTAAATTTGTGTTTTTCTACAAAGTAATTATTTTGTTTATAGGGGAGGCAGCTTTTGTTTGCAATCATAGCAGCTCACCATCTCTCTCTCTCTCTCTCTCTCTCTCTCTCTCTCTCTCTCTCTCTCTCTCTCTCTCTCTCTCCTTTTTTTCATGTTTTTTTGCAATATCAACTATTTCAAAATTGTTGAATCAGAATTCACTCATTTTGTCCGGAAAGTTGGCATTCATCTGAAAGCAGCACGAACCTACAAAAGAAAGCTGTATTGGTTCTTTGAGGAACATGATTGCCAGCTTTCTTTTTCTTGTGGTAGCTCCTTGTTGCAGCTCTTTTGATCATTGAATGGCATGCTCATGATTTAATGTCTGTGGAGCAGAATTTCCTGAATTTTTTTGATGTCTCCTCTTGCTATTTTTAAATGTTACAAAGAAATCTGAACAATGCTCTATTTTTTTTTTTTCAATGCAGGAACAGGAGCAATACTTTGTGAAAGGTGCACTCGAAAAAATTTTGGCCCATTGTACCCACTACAGTCATCATGGTATGCAATTGCCAATCACAACTGAACGGACCGCTCAATATATTAAGGAGGCTCAGTTCATGGGTCGCAAGGGTCTCAGAGGCAAGTCGCATGCTGTGTCGTAATAATAATATTGTCACTACAAGGCATTGAACCCAAGTAGTTACCGTTTATGTTGGCACTGCATTGATGTTCTTTCTGATGCTCAGGCTGTTCTCATTTAACATTGCAGTTCTCTCTCTGGCAAGTGGTACAAACCTGAACCAACTCAGGTTTTTGGGTCTAGTGGGCATTCTGGACCCTCCCAGGCCAGGAGTTCGTGACTCCATTGAGACACTCCATAGCAGTGGAGTCAATGTCAAAATGCTTACTGGCGACTCTGAAGAAACTGCCTGTACTATTGGTGGGTCCTTACCTTGCATCAACTTCAGAAACTCTAGAATCTCTAGAAGGGACTTAAGAGACGAAATTTCGCTTTGAGTGAACTTGGTGTGTTCGCCCTACTCTTGATGATAACATTACTTCTAGCTGTTAAGAAGCACTAGTCTGCTGGCCAGTTGATGCTCTCATAGTGCTGTCAAGAATTGACAGTTCGTGCTACACAGTGGCAAGCTTTTGTAAGCCCAAGGTAAGCACGTTTGTCTTTTAGTAAACCCTTCACCCCTCCTCCAAACTCTATATCATTTAAATATTTAGACAATCACTGCTGAGGTGAAGTAATCACTAGGCCACTTTTGTGTATAATTGGTGCTGAATCAGATCCTTGCTGCATATTGCTTTTGTAGTCTCTTGAAGTCTCTTGATATCTTTTCAAGTCTAGTGCTTGTCATATTCACTTATTCTCTGAATTTGTGTATGTCAAAAGTAACTTAAAGCAATGTCCTTGCACCATAGAAGTACCATTTTGTTTATTTATTTATTTATTTATTTATTTATTTATTTATTTAAAAATACCTTACAGGCCTCTGTTGAGGCATAGTGTAAGGGGGCCAGTACAAAAATTGAAATTTCTGAATCATCCACAAAATACAAATACAGGAGCATACTTGATGAGCCAAGTGACAGAGCAGTACAATAAAAAGTATTCACGGCAGTACTGGTTACAAAAAAAAACCATAACACTAGCAAGATAAGACATAACAGGGAAACAATTACTGGGGGAATTATCTATAAAGTATTGTTAGTCAAGCAAACTTTGGATTTTATATAAATAATTAGTTGAAGTATCAAGAAAAAGGGAAAAAAGGCAAAAAAAAACAAAAAGTGACACTACGGTGTTTTAAAATGACTTAAAATACAAGAAAGAAAGATTACCATGACACTAAGGGCATACAGCTATAATGTCAGATTTCTTTGTGCTTCCCTGGCAGATATCTAGACATGCGATGCTATCGGGCAGGAAGTTCTAACATAGGATAGCACGTGGAAATACTTAGCTATCGAATGCACGTGTTAACCCGTAAATGCGCAAAAGCTAAAATTATCATGACATAGAGTAGGGTTGTGTCAAGCATTCCAGTATTCGAGATTAGTGAATGAATTTGTGAAACAGTGTCAGCAAGGCTGTGTCACAGTGAGTACTCAAAGTTTGCAATGAAAGGTCAAGTTTGATTTGTATGAAGTTTGATTTGTACAGAGCCGGTCTGAAAAATAATGTCAGGTATTACATCACTGAAGTGTCTTTTTGTTTTCAGCATTCCGGGACCAATTATGATATGTGGAAGGGGAAGATAGCTTATGAAGATATCTTATGAACATGCATTCGCATAGTCATTGCAACTATCTGGAAAGTGTGGCCAGGTGTTTTCATGAAACTCATTTTCATTTACAATGCAAGCAGTTATTCAGTGCTCGTTGGAACATAGCAGTCATCAAGTTTTTTGTGAACCTGCCTATTATCGAGGTTAAAGACAGCCTTTTATGATAATTATTTATAGGAATGTCAAAGTCTTCTTTGAAAAGTCGTCATTTTGGGACAGTTGACGAAGTCAAAGAGGCTTGTGCTAAGGCTCTGAAAGACATTTTGATGGAGGTCTGTTACGACTCCTTCTACGCCTGAAAATTTTGCTAGGAGCAATGTATCGATGCAGGAAGAACCTATATTAAAACCTTTTACTGTGTTGTACCAATATAAATAATAACTTTTATTACTGTGCTTGTCCCCCTTTATGTAATACTCTAAAAAGTGTTTTTAAAGGTTTGTCAATGGTGGTGATATACCGTAGTGTAACTGGGTCGCATTGAAAAATAGAGTTGGTAGTTTGTCAGCAGATCTGGAGACCTCTAATGGGAGGACTGGTGCCCTGCCCTTTTCTTTTATGCCCTGCTTTGTGGGTGCTTCTGTATTTACAGCACTCTTTAGTGCTCTTTGTTAACTACAGAGGCCAACCCATATGCTTCTATAGCTGGATTAACATGCCAAATCAAGTTGCGTGGAGAACTGTGATTAAATGAGCTGTAGCAAGTTCCACTACCAGCCACTTATCTGTGTTGTTTGTGTGTAGGGCATGATTGGTCAACGCCTTATTAAGTGAATTCTGATGAAAAAAAATGCAACAAGTACTGGTGGCATTTTTAAAAACTGGTGCAGAATATATGCAAGAATGGGTCTATATATCCCTTTCAGCAGCATTGTGTACAACTCTGCTCACCAACTGTGGAGAGACTCTTGTCCCACATGACAAGTTACTTCAGTTTGCTTGAATCATGACATGCACATTTGTGCATACTTGCCGAGTCAACAATTAAATCTCATTGAACTTCAATACGCTGTGTATTGCTGTAGAGGAGTTTGTTGGAGACACTACCATGTTCAGCAAACCATTCAACATGCCCTGTTATGAGAGCCACATTAAAATTATGCTTTTTTTTATACCTGGAGTAGATATAACTGATAACTGATTGCCCATGTATTTCAGTCTTAATTGATTACCATAATTTTTTGCATATAATTCACTTTAAAAACAAAAAACTGTTCCTAGAAAATGGGAGTGTGGCTTATATGCATGCTTCTAGAGTCAACAATTAAATCTCATGAAACTTCAATGTGATGCGTATTGTTGCAGAGAACGACTCGCAAGGTGATCAATCACCTTGCAATAAGGTTATGTCAATTTTAGATAGCTATAGACAGTTCATCATAACTTATGTCTGAAGGCAATATGTATGCAGCCATCATAGTCACTCTCGCTAGAGGAGGACGTGCCCGCTCACCTATTACCACTCCATGTCACACACATAGCCGATTTAATTATTATAATGTAACTGTACATATGTTTATTGTAGTAAATTATTTATTTTTTTGTAGAAGACATTCAAATCTTTGGAGTACAGTGGCTGCTTATTGTTTTGTCTAATATAGCTATACTTTTTAAACCACCATCGATCGTTAAAGTGGGCTCAGCTACAGTCACAAATGTAAAATGTAATTATGACCTGCTTCACTCTTATTAATTGGTCTTCAATGTTGAGTTATGTAATACTGAATGTGAACTGTGTAAACTTTTTTTTCCACCAGTTATAATTATTAGAATTGTAAACTGATTTGCATAAATTAATTGTGTATGTAAAAAATCTGTTTATGATAGACAGTATTATTCTTGTGCAGCGGCTCGTCTTGGCCTTCATGCTGTGGGCAGTGTTGTGCTTTCTGGTGATCAGCTGGATGCAATGACCGACAGTGAACTGCAGAGGATCATTGGGTCTGTGTCGGTGTTTTACAGGACAGGACCAGGACATAAGCTTCGCATTGTAAAGGTTTGTATTCACATCTTATAGCCTAGTGCAGTTCAGTCTACATATATCGATATCCAAGTGCCAACGAAATCCCAATAACCGAAAATTCTTATAAGTGAGTTGAGAAAAGATAAACAAAAGAGCGGTCAAAACATTTTATTTGCATGCAAGTAAGGTATGTAACTATGTGCTTGTTTGTAGAAAAACCACAGTCTGTCAGCTTTGATTGCATCATACTAAACATGTGCACATCTTTCTTGAGAGCATCACAGTGCCTCACATAGCTGAGCGTGGTGTCCTGCTCAAAAACGAAGTCCAGCAGGGACTGTGTATCATACATTGGGCATTCTGCAATGAGAGTATCTGGGTAGGCTGCTTAACCGCCTCGTCGTAGTCAATGCTCGCAATGATGTTTGCATTATGTGCACATGCAACGATCGCCTCATCACTGAGGCACTCAGACATTTCTGCAACATCGTCTGCATGAAGAAGGTGGTCTATATATGATGCTTCTTCGTTGAGTACTGACCACAACTGCGGAAGCTCTTTGTCAATGGGCGCTTTGCAGGCCTCTCCCGGTATTGCATCAGAAGTTAGGAAGGAAAGTGTCTTCTCCTTTCACTTTCTTGTATGAAGCACAGTCAACTTGTTTCTTAAGGTTTTCTTAAGGTGTGAACGGGGTGTAGGGCGCTTAGCAGTGCATGCCGTCTGTACAGAGAGCCATTTTCGGTGCATGCTGTTGCTGAATTCAACCGCTCTATTCAGTATCGTGGCACTGGAGCATCGTAATAACAGGTTTATTTTATGGTAGGATGCATACAAAAGTGGATGGTCCCAACATCGTACATCATTATATCCGATGTATTTTTATAAACAGTATTGTTATAAGTGGACTCATAGTTACCACAGTGATTCCACTCCTGCACTAACTATGAGAAACAATGCCTAATGGGATTTCCTGCCTGATAAAATAAAAGTATCAGGAAAATGCGCCTGAACGAGCCTCAAAATTTAATTTCATCTAGTCCTGATAATTGCACCGCCAGTGTTACAAAATGTGTGCGACTTGGTGCACTCTTGATTTACATTTTTGTTAATTATCCATTTGCCAATGGCTATCTTTCTTTATGCCATGCTTAAAGCAGTAATGGACGCACGCACACACACGAGAGAGAGAGAGAGAGAGAGAGAGAGAGAGACACACACAGAAAAAGAGAGAGAGACACACAGAAAAAGAGAGAGAGAGAGATGGCTAGATATGCTGACAGACTTTTTAGTGGGTGCCCATGTGGGGTGCTGTAAGTGAAGGTTGGCTTGCGAACTGTATTTGAATGTCTGCATGATGTCACTCTTTCTCCTCGCTTTTTTTTTTAGAATAGCTGCTATGGGACGCTTCTATGAGATCTTATGGCACTCTAGCACTGTTGTGGGTCACTTCACACAAGCAGTCTTCCTACACACCTATTGTTGGAAGTTCATTATATCAAAGTTTGAGAGGCATATTGAAGTTGGAGCTAGTGCGACACATTTGCTCACCTGTGTGGCACAGTTTAGTATGTGACAGTAATATATCCACTTCAGGCACAAATTATCATTAACTGTCCGTAAATGTCTAAATTTTGCACAATAATCTAAGATGCTCAATATTACATTTCAAAAAGAAAAAAAAAAAGAACTCCATGGAGGTTAACTGGGCACCAGAATATCCAAAGTTCTAGTCTTGACACAAGTACGTCAAATTCCAGCATCAATGCTTTTTTTTTCTTAGTGCTAGCAAAAATAGATTATACAGAAATGAATTCAATACTAGTGTCAACATATTTAACCCTAGTGCTGTTAAATTTATACTAGAAAATAGCAAGATTTTTTAGTGCTGCAGTCAAACCTATCAGGCCCTCCAGAGATCTTGGCAGACGGCGATTCTGTTTGTTCCATTTGTCTCGTGCATTTATCATCTGCCCCCATGTCTACAGCACAAAGATAAACTTCTGGTGTAGAGATTGAAGTGAAATTTGGGTGTTTTTGACCTTTAATATTTCTTGCTAGCAAAAAAAAAAAAAACATTAGTCTAAGTAGCTTTATATGTGTAGCTATTTATAAGCTATGAAGGCAAATATTTTGCTTCCTCTCTTTCTCAGCCTTTCTTAATTTTACATTTACTATGGTATATTTCTGCTATTTTAGGCTCTGCAGCGGAACAATTACATAGTAGGCATGACTGGCGATGGTGTTAATGATGGAGTTGCTTTGAAGAAAGCTGACATCGGTATTGCCATGGGTAAAATTGGCACAGACGTTTGTAAAGAAGCAGCTGATATGATTCTTGTGGACGACGACTTCTTCACAATCATGTAAGCAGTGCACATTTTGTCAAATTTGCTTTATACAACAGTGTTGTGGAGTTATTTTTATGAAAAAATATGTGATAAGTTTGCTGCATTTGATGTAGTAGTATTTTGTAGAGCTGTACAAAATAGCAAAATTTTAATTGTGAAGTGAATTTTGTTGTTGAAGTGTTAGTGCCAATTGACTGGAATCTGTTTGGAATATTTCTATAATATTTTTGTAATACTTGTAAGCAATTACAGAGAAAAAAAAAAAAGTCGGAAAGGATTCCTAAGCATATTGATGCAGGATACATTTAAAATTCGCGTGCCAGTCGTTTGCTTCGTCCTCAATGTTGCCTGTGGTGTGCATGCGAAACCGAGCAAGTGAAGCGCCAGTGGGAATTGGCAGGATTGACATTGACAACTCAGGCACGTGCGAGCTGTGTGGGATAAGAGAAGAAGACGAGGTGCCGAACTTAAAAAAAGCCAAGGTGTTCCGGACATAAACAACTTGTTTGTTTGTGGGTCAGAAGTTTGCCTATTTTAGCTGTCTTTAATAAAGTCTACTTTTCAACTTTGCATGGCAAATCTGGTGGAAGTGCCGGGTTATGAACCCTATCTCTTTGCGTGGCAAATCTGGTGGAAGTGCCGGGTTATGAACCCTATCTCTTCTGAAGTTGGAGAAGGCAATTTGGAGCAAAGAAGACTTGGACCCACCGAGCTGACCCCTGTTCACCAGTGCAGCAGCCGTCGCTTATGCGGTGAAGACCCTGAGTTTTCCCCTTTGGATTGTACAAGAACAGTCGCAGTTCCCAGCGGAGACACTACTGAGATGACTTCCCAGGTCGCGCCAACACAAATTATAGTAGATCCGCCGATGGCCCAAACGATTCCACGGTGACGCACACGAAGACGCAGAGGACTGGTTCGACCAATTTGAGTGCGTCGCGAGGGTCAATGGCTGGGATTCTGCTTGGAAGCTACAATGTGTTTATTTTGTGTGTCCGCACAAACGTGGTTCGAAAACCACGAGGCTGCCATCTTGACTTGGCATGACTTTTGGCGGGAGCTACTTGCCACCTACCCAAGTACGGATCGCAAGGAGAGACCCGAGACCGCTCTGCAAGCTCAGAACTAGCGAAACAATGAAAGGGTGGCCATGTATGTAGAGGACATTACCCATCTTTTCCGCCGAGCAGACCATAACATGAACGAGGACAAAAAAGCTTTGCCATCTAATGTGAGGCGTAAGACAGGAACTTTTTGCCAGTTAGGTTAGGAATTCGTCGTCGCAAAGTTTCGTTCTGAGGCGGCCACAATGGAAAGAATGCGTCAGCGACGAGCGAGGATGTACATCCGGGATCTGGGCATCACCTCCGTTGGCGCAGCACCCGCTGCCTTGGGAAACAGCATGGAGTTCTTAGGTGAACTCTCGAGGTCTGTGGTGCAAGAGAAGCTCCAGAGGCAGCGGCTCGACCACAGCGCTCCAGCGGTATCATCACTGGCCAACGTTGTGTGTGAGAAAATTAGACTGGCGGTTCGGGATCCCCAGTCTATTTGGGAACATCAGCGGTATGCCCAGCCAGAAGTGTCACCATTGTTATCGCAGAGAGTCTTATATGTCAACGCTCTACTGCAAAGACCCCCCCGTGTGTAGGGACATCGCAGCCACTTCAGTGTACAGCACTGCGCCACCAAACACGCTCCCGTTACCGGATACTGATACAGTGGACTCCCAATAAACGAAACTCGCTCAAACGAAAATGCCTCATTAACAGAACTAAACGAGCTCATATGGCTTGATTTTTATGTTTTGTGCAGTGAAATTCATCGGTTAATCGAAACAGTGCTTATTGGTCACCTACGGTTAAACGGCCCAAACTCTAAACACAGCATAGACTCGCTCACGCGAAAGGTAGTCTCACAACTATGGCAACACCTCGAGATCGAGACAAGCCAATCCAGTAGCCCTTATCGCTTGTGGCTGTGGGAGCCGAGTTACAGTGTACTAGAAGGGGGCAGTGGAATGAACGAGGCGGCCGCGGCGTATATCGGCTGATTTTCCGGCAGGTGGCAGTAGCAGCCGGCGCTGTAGTCTCATGGTACTGAAGATCTCAGGAGCGTCTGCATTGGGAGTGCACGCGTTGTTGGCTGCGAAAGCGTGTAATTGCTCGTTTATAGTGTGTTCAATACATTTTGGAGCCTTTATCAGTATATGCACACCTGCTACACGCCATGGTGCGCGAGTATTGCAGGCACGCCGAAATTTCGGCGAGTCATTCACTGTTTCAAGGGCCTACCAACCCACAGAAAAAATCTAAAACGTAATTTTCAAGGATCCACCTAGCTTCTCACTCAAGCAGCGCTTTGAGCTGCACTACATCATAAGTGGCTACTGGCAAACTACAAAGAAAGGAGAAGTATCAAAACCACAATTAAATGATACAATCGTTTTGTTGGCAGTATCTACGATATCCAGAGCAGTGTTCCTCATCAGAGACCATATGCGCTTGTTTGTTTCGTGAGAAACCTGAGTGTAAGTAACGTTGTCACAACATTTATATCAGTTAGGACTCAGTTTTATCATGCCAGTTTTGTGAAAGATAATAAATATTGCTATGTGAAAGATTTACGTTGTTTTAACCGCGTGCTTTGTGCTTACTTTGCTTTTTGCATTCAAGCTCCAAGTGTTAAAAATACCAGGAGGCCAAGCAAAGAAGCCGAGTCGAAGGAACTCGTGTACCTCCGAGTCATGAACTTCACGTGAAAGGGGTCATCCTTAACATATTAAAAAGTCCCAATCTTATTATAGCCCCTCTGTAAATCTGGGTAGTTTCCGTGTAACCAGTTCTAATATTGTATCAAAAGCTTAAATTGTGCTGCTTTTTATAAATTCCATTGGCATGTAGTTCTTTTTAAGTGGGAAAAGACAATGAGAAATAAAGCAACACCGCTGGATGATGCCTGTTACTACCGGTAATTACTATACAATACCAGCCTGGAACCTAAACAAGCATCGGGACGATGCATTCTCGGAAGGAGGATAATGACTGAAGATACATTTAAAGTTCGTGCGCCAGTTGTTTGCTACAGCCTCAATGTTGCCTGTGATGTGCATGCGAAACAGAGCAAGCGAAGCGCGAGTGGGGATTGCAAGGATCGACATTGACAACTCAGGCACTTGCGAGCTGCGTGGGATAAGAGAAGAAGAGGAGGTGCCGAACTTGGACGAAGCCAAGATGTTTCGGACATAAACGTTTTTCTTTAACTTGTTTGTTTGTGGGGCACAAGTTCGCCCGTTTTACTATTTTTTTTATTAAAGTCTACTACTTTTCAACTGTGCATGACAATATTCTTATGAGATAGCAACATGAAAGTTATTCTTTTGGGTAGGTTGATGAAGTGCTGGCATAGTTGTCAAGAATGAGGCAATGCAGAAACCAAATTGTGTACACGTTCTTGATTTGGGGCAACCTAAGTGTTGCCAACAACACTTTTCACGGGAAAGGCAACGAGGCTATTTCCTCAGCCTCTCCTCCTCTTTCAACTTTTGTGGAGGCCCAACTGTTGTGTTGGACAAGGTTGTGCTCCCTTTGAGTCTGGAGTTCCACATCTGCCTCGTAAATGTCAATATACAAGATCATATGAAACTTTGGATGCTTAAAATTTTTAGTGTCTGAATTTTTGGTGTTCTGGCCCAAATTTCAGGACCAAAACAGCATTGAGCCCCCACTTCTTCCTCATGTGCCATCTCCATGTTGGAACTAGCATTTTTTCTTGAGCCAGTGCATTTGCGACCGTAGCAGCTCCTCAAAGGCAGCTTTGCCGCAGTATTAGAATGTGATGGGGCCATTGTCAATCAGACCTTGACTGCATTCAGAGGTCAAAATGCTGTTCCAATAGCACCATTCTGCACCAATCTGGCCTGCTTCACCAAGCTGCATACAAACAGCAATTTCCATATACAATGCCAAATATAACGAAATCTTAGCACCAACCGAACAACATGCATCAGACAAAGTATGCAGCTCTGTTCATATCTTATGTACAGTAGACACTCAGTTAACGGAACCTGAAAGGACCGGGAAAATATGTTCCATTTAACAGGAGTTCCAAGAGGTGAACATGGATGCAGAACACAAGCCCGAAACCAAGTATTTCAGAGGCAATAGTTCCGTTTAACAGATTTTTGCTTAATGAGAGTCCACTGTAGTTCGTTTATTATAGTTCGGCCGCGTCGTATTCCAGTTCATCCAGGATATTTGCACCATGTGTAAATTTAAAACCATGTATGAATCTCGTGCCACGTGATCAAAATGTGTGAATAATCTTAAGGTGTCGTTTGTGTGCAGACCTCATTATGCGAGTATTTTTTGACAGTGTAGCTGTTTGTCAAACTTTTTAAAGACAACTGTAGCTTCCAAAAAACTCTCTGCGCTGTTGCCGAGTAACCGCCGAGAACAGCACGCGTTCTGCAATGGAGACGTTCAAACCATGAAAACTTGCAAAAAGGAAATTAGTTTTGCTGCAGGGGCAAAGCAGTGAATACAATTGCAACAAATTGTAATCATAGACGAAGTAAGGCTGGCAGCTAACTCTTTTGGCTTGCGCAGCGCTGGGGGTGTGCAAGTAGTGAATTTTGAAAACGAATCAAATACGAATCGAATAGTGATGATGCCGAATCAAATACAAATATGAATGGAATACTATTCGAATAGTTTTCGAATATTTTCAAGTAGTAAGACAACCATTTTTAAAACAGTCCTAGAACTCCACAACATTACATTTGAAAAAAATATTCATCATGTTTCACTTTTAACCGAATCTATATACCTCAATTATAACTGAGGTAAGCTCCTATATGGTAATGACTATGTACAGTAGTCAATTGTCACCTGCATTTAAATGAAGCTGAGTGAAAAACTAAGCAATTTTGAATCTAACTCCGTGAATACAGTCGAACACAGTTATATCGAACCCACATATATCGAATTTTCGTGCATATTGAACTCGCAAGTTATCAC